GTGTATAATAGATTGGCAAGTGGAGGAATGGATAGATGGGTGAATGGGATTGATGGGTGTATAATAGATTGGCAAGTGGAGGAATGGATAGATGGATGAATCAAAAAAAGCAAACGTTAATGGTGTGGAAAGGAGAAAGGAAGGATTTTCAATTGTTTTATCATCTAACCTTGACATCTTTTTCTGCACAGCTTCAAGTGCCCGTACTGTGGCAGCATTGGATTCTAATACTACATCAAGCTGAAATCAAAAATGCCACAAAACATGGTTCACTTGAGAGACCCGAAAAAATGGCTTCAACTCAGGGTTGAACTTGATGGGATACAGTAAAAGTATCAACACATCAAGTCCAAACCTGGACTTGGAGTCACTGTCTCATTGTCACTCAAACGAATAGACATATATCTCACTAGCGTGACATTATAAGATATTTGATTGATTGGAAAAAAGATTTTCAACAATATTTGTCACATTGGTAATAGTAATGAAGCAAAGTTTCATACAGGTTGCCCATAAGCTGCCGAAGATATGGATTTTCAAATCCAAAGCATTTTTGAAAAGAAATACTACCGTACATCAAAGGCCAGGTAAGAATCGTTTTCATATATTTCACAGACATTTCTATACAAAAAATTCAAAAAAATACTTGGATTCAATGTAAGTCTATTTGGGGAAGTTCTATTCCTATCCATTAAACTCTTGTAATGCCTTTTTGATAACATCAAACTAGATTCTTGGACTGTTTTTGTAGGAAGCTTATTTACCTCAAATCGCTCATCCTCACATCTGAAAAAAGAGAGTAAAGAAAAAGAATTAATTAATTTAGTAAATTAAATAAATAAAGGGTTTTTTTAGAAAGACTAATGGATAATATTCTTATATACTAGGTTCAAGTTATACGAGGAGATTCAAGTTATACGAAGACTAATGATTCCCATTTTGAAATCTTCTTTTGCTCTGTATGAAATTTATTTTCATGTAGAATGTTTGCATATTCTAGAGGTGGCTTATGAAATTGCAGGCTATTTATAACGCTCAACCTATATGAGTCCTTACTTTACAAATAACTTGCTACTTAATGAGGTGCATATTCAAGGACCACAGTACATATTTTATGAATTAGAAAAATAGAGTGTAAACAATATAACAGTGAAACTTTAGTAATACTAAATAGCACAGTTTCATGCAAATTCCATTGTTTTCTATTGTTTAATTAGCACTATTTTGTACTATTTAGTAATTAGTGTTTCACCGATTAATTGTTTGCACTCTATTTATATTTTTATCAAGTGTTTTCAAAGTTTTCCACAAATGATTTATGCCATACCAGAATACAGCCAATCAAAAGCAAGTATTTTAAGCATATATTGAGTGCCCCTGACTTGGGCAAGCTAGCCAGGAGACAAAATTTAAGAATAACTAAAGCAAACACACTCGATTGATAAACCTAGTACCTGTAAATATATTCCTCATACTGAGTTTTTCTCGTTCCTGGAAATGGTGTGTCTTCAGACCAGGAAGGGAATGACACCCAGGTGTCATTGAGCACATCACGGCACAGATCAGACCTGCCAGAACATTTAGGTTGGGTGTAGCTCTTTGGTAGAGCTCTGTAACTGGTACCATATCTTTTACATGATGAATAATCTAAAAATATATAGTGGAATAATTGAGGATAAAATAACTTGGGAACCTCCAAACGAATTTCCCAACCCACCACGGTAAAGTAACATATAAGGGTTCATTGAAATGTACTGGTAAACCAAGGAAGACTGATTGAATGTAGTTATATAGAGTACCTATTTCTAGATGTGCTAGTTCTCCTGAAGTTCTTTCTTTGTACCCAGTCATTGACTCCATTGGTGATGAGTCCTTGTAGCCCAGAAACTCCTTAAACCAGGAAAAAAGCTCTGGAAATTTTCTGGATAAGAATGAGAGGACAATATGAATGAGTGAAAGTTATTGAAAATGGCAATTATTTGTGAAGAAAGAAGAAGAAAAGTGTACTGAATAAAAATGAGATAATAATTAGTGTAGATAATAGGACTACATGTTTAGAAATAATTGGATGAAAAAAATTCAGAGAACTGACAAAATTAGAAGAGGCCGATAGGCCGAGGCAATGCAGATTTGCTTCTTCACATAGCAACAACCATGAAAACTTACCAAGAATCAAAAGAATGAATATAAAACCATATAGGATATCAGACAGACAGACATAAAGACAGCAAAAATGTATGAAGAGTAGTAAGAATAAGAGAATAAAATAGAAAAAAAATAAATCAAAGGGTCTCTCACCCCAAAAAGTTAGAACCAAGTTGAACAAGCTCCGCTCTTGAAATCACTTCATCATTAAAAAGCATTAAACATCTCAAGAAGTTGTCGTATACTTCTGGGCTCTTCAGCGCTTTATGAACCTGAACACAACACAAATAAGCCAATTATACATGATAATAATATTTATTATTTATATTGCACATTTTCTATAAACTACACAAATGCACATCACAATTATCTGTTGTTACAATAACTAATTATACAGCTTCTCATTAATCCCATATAGGTAACTGTCCAATTATTTTCTTAATTGGACAGGTCTTGTTGATATGGGATTAATTAGGCAGCTATATAATTAATAGGTAATGGGATTTCATGCTCCCCAATCAAGAAATAATTAGACTCGAAAAATTCCTCTGACTGCAAAATTGGACTCGACCTAAGGCCTCATCCAATTTTGGAAGTCCTCGGAATTTTCCTCGTCCAATATGGAGTCCTATTACATATACTTATGGGGTAATAGCCAATAATCAGCACCGTTGATATTTCATTATTGAGTACATCTTATTCACATTTCCATCTATTACAATAGGCTGTAAAAGATGCTTCGCAAATTTTCCTTCATACCCCATTAGGATTTCCTCACCGAGTAGTAAGACAATTTGTACTAATAAACTCAACAAACCAACATGTGAGCTAGAAGTGAAAGTATGTGACACGATATTCTTTTGGATGGCAAAATATTACAATGCTTTCAGGACCTGAAATTAGCGGTCCTCCAGTCATCAGGGATGACTAAAATTTGCAAATGAAGACTAGATTTTGGAATGTGGTTGTCCTTCTGACGACCTACGTTTTTGCTAAGGTGTTTTCTTTTATAAAAAAAAAGAGTCTGTAAAGTCCAAATATAATTCTAAATTGTATTTCTTCTGCTTAAATCCTAGAAAGTTCATTTTTCAGCTGATAAACTTTCAAAAATTCGAGATAACGCATTCATCAGAAGCCAATGAATACCGTTGATAAATTTGAATGCATCTTCTGCATTATAGCTAACCGCTGACCATTGTCATTCAGGCTCTACAAAATGGCGTCCAAGTGGGAATGCTAAGTTTTGTTCTGGACGCCTAAGAATTAGAACATAGTTGTCCAAAGTACCACTTAGCTCAAAAATTAATTTCGGATCCTGGCTTTCACAAAGTAAATCTGCTCTCTATTCCCCCCCCCCCCCCCCCAAGAGATTGCACACGATGGGGCTTGCATTTCCAGAATACTTTGGGCTCCAAGGATTATTTCCTCATTTCAAAATTTTGACAGATCAAAGTGAGGCTTTGATATTTCATTCCTTGGCCCTTTGTATAAAAGTTTAGGATTTTTTGATTTGTCATTACTTTGCTGTTCTTACTTTATCAAAGAAGGCATATTCAGTGAAAGTGCCATGCTTCCCTGCTTCAGCCAATGATACTTCTTTCATTACACTACGAGACTTTTTCTGGAAAATAATATTCAACCATTAGATAAATTACTCACTTTTTACGCCCCAATTTTTGAAAGTCCAAATAATTTGAGTATTTGAGGATAATATGACTTAATTATGATATCAAAACCAGATACATGAAAATTTTAGCCTGGGAGCCACTTGCTATTGAGATATTTTGGGTTAAAAGTGAAAAGAACAATAGGGTTGAGTAAATGACGTCATTTACTCACAATTTAGATGCTTAATAAAATTGATAATTATTTCCCACCACTTTTGACTGTGAAGAAAACATGTTGCTTGGCTACTATCTGGGCCATATAGATGAGTCTAACCAAGTTTCAAGTCATTTCCAATTTTCATTGATTTTCATCCAAGTGCCCCTCTAAGAAATCCATCAAATCCGGGTTATAAGCCCAAGTTTTTGGCCTAGCTTAGAAGACGTGGGCTTATAACTCATTTATAATTTATGATGGGTTAATAACCGGGAGATTTAGGATTTTATCTTAATGGTGTGTAACAAAATCACATGTACAAAAATGTACACTTTGCTGTTGTGACAAAGTAACTTGTTAAACGTCAAGGCTTTTCTATGATATTCCATAGGTACATGCACTTGATCACTTTGTGATTCCCGAGAATGTCATGGAAACGGTTTCCATGGAAACACTGACTGACACCCACCAAAACACTATATTTTTGTCAAGACAGAAAATTGTGAGAAGTGCTGTAATGCCACCAACATTATAGGAAAGGTTGCCAATGATAAGGATGTTTTGGAAGAAGAAGAACATACTGGTACAATACCTACCTTACTGGCTACAGCATGTGATGGAGAGGATCCAGAAGAACCCCTTCTTATCTGGGACATTCTTTTGGAAGAATTTAATCCCACTAAACAACAACAATAACAATGATGTGTTAGTTGTGTTCTGACTTAGATCAGCCCAGAGGTTGTTTCAGGGTTCTATCTGTGAGTTAGTCCTGCTCTGACTTAGATCAGCCCAGAGGTTGTTTCAGGGTTCTATCTGTGAGTGAACCATGCCCTGACTTAGATCAGCCCAGAGGTTGTTTCAGGGTTCTATCTGTGAGTTAGCCATGCCCTGACTTAGATCAGCCCAGAGGTTGTTTC